AAACAAAAGCTTTTTTCAAGATTATACGAACGGGTTTTTGACGGACAAACGACAAAAAACGGGGGTTGAATTTCTTTTGCAGATTTTGTTTGTTGTTAATTCTAAATTTTCACTTTTTCTTTCCACTTTTTATTATTAGGTTCTCCAATATTCCTGTGTTCATTTAACTTCTCTATTCCGTTTCATATGGATTTAGTTAATAGATAATAAATAAGATGCATGCCACGTAAGGAAAAATTGAAAATAAACTTGTACGGTACGGTAAGCGGCTCAACTTGTGTTACATTTTCACATTTATTATTCAATATCAGATCAAAAAATACTCACTGCACTAAGTGAATTCCTTGGTCCACTATGGCTTTCGGATTTCAGTGTTAGGATTGTGACTCGATATTTAAGTACGAGTATAATACAATATTATGGTTGTTTTGATGAAGAAATGTAAGTTATGTACTGCTGTTTTATCATTATACTTTCTATCATAAACACACATGAAAAACGAAATCCGTGTATACGTTTTGTGCCAAATATATCGTATACTAGTTATAAATGGTTTGTACATCGATTTATAATTGTGAAGAATTTTGTCAGCCCTTTCTGTACTGAATATCCTAAAAAATCTCATCCTAATCGTATCACGGTGTACGTATTTAATGAAACAAGAATGATATAGAAATATTTTTGAAATAATATAAAATATTATATTATTTTATTACTTTTTATTGTAATAATACATTAGGATACAAACTTTTTTTCAAAATGTAGTTCTTTAGGATAAGTTATCTGCATCTTATAAAAGGCGTATGCACCCAAATGAAGTTTTTGTTCGAAGCCAAACTCAAGTCGATGAATGTGATGTGATGTGATTTTGATTGCTATCGAATTTACGAGATCGATCACATTGTCGTGTTTCAAGTCACGCGAGGCCACCTCGGCAATTCAATCTCAGCAAAGCTCTCAGCGTCCTTGCACAAGTGTTTGTTGAGCACTAGTACACGCCATGTACGAATGTGTGACGATGCCAACATCAGTCTAGTTTGGAGTGAGCCAAAGACAGAATAACTTTGTTTTGTGTAGAAATGATTTACGTTCGCTCCTTTATTGCAGTTAATGCAGTAACACTGCGTTTGAGGAATAAATACAAAAACTATGTTCTCTTCTTTCGTTTTTTTAGGCTGTGCCTGTTCATTTTAACAAAAGGAAATATATTTTAAAACCTACTGGACATTCCGTGTAACCACCTTCATGAGTTACTTTGTCGTTGTTCGTCTGCCATAATTTTTATATCTTGAAGAATTGGGTTCCTTAAGAAGGTTCCGGTGGAGCGAGAGTGCTTGATTGTGCCTTACAAGCTCCGCCCTATTTCGCTTTTCAAACGCGTGGAGGAAGGAAACAATTTCAGGGGGAGGTATATCTGGGAGCCAATGGCCGGGCTCTTTCTTGCTCCCAACTTCAGGATTGGTCGGTAGAGCGATCGGTAATATTTTAAAACATATGCGGATTTGCTAAAACAAAAGGACCTTCAAGTATTTAGAATAAAATGAAAATAGAGAGCTTGAAAAAACGAATTATTCTAACTTTAGCAACAATCTTCTTTGGCACTATGCATGAGTTTGTGCAGCATGACCGCTCACCCCTCTAGGGAACTTCAAACGAATGACGGAAGAACGAAAAGAGCCGTTTGGTAAAAACGGCTTTGAAAAATACTTTTGCGTGGAAACTTGCATAAGGATTGTCCGCCAAAAAAATATTTTCATGAGATGCTAAATTTATATAAATCCATACATTATCTCGGAAAAACGAAGACAATAACGCCGGATCGGATTGCGAATTTTGCATCTCGTTAAAGGCAATTTAGGAAAAGGAATATGATTTTCGCAAAATTAAAGATTAGATACAAATTTTCCAAATTTTTAATTCTAAGAATTGAAGGGGTCCCTGATGTCAGAATAGACAGCAGTTGAATTAACAATTTGGCAAACAATAACAATTTATAAACATTCCGAATCCATGCATTCCTGTCGACCCTCCAATTGTGGTTGAATTAATATTGCAAAATAACAATTTTTTACAAGAGATGCAAAATTATTGACTATTGCCACTTTATTGTTGCTAAAATATATACATGGGGACTTGATCTTTGAATTTTGCTGTTTTTGTTTTAAATGGTCTCTAGAAGTCATCTTCGATACGAAATACACGATTTTGCAATTTTTGCAATTTTTATAAACATTGGACATTTGGAAATGGCATTCTGATAGTTATCTTATCGATAAATATATAGTAAACTGGATGTTTGATAAAGGTCCTGGAATTATTTATAACAATAATATTGGAAAAAGTCAACGTGTATGAGAATCTTAAATGCTTCTAAATTAGTGTTTTTTTTATTCTCGGTATCAAACGTAATTTTTTCAAAATAATTGTGTTAACCAGGCGTTAAAACGTATATGTATCTAGTAATGTACTTTCTACTTCAAGAAAGTGTTTTAATATATTTTTTATTTGGAATACTTCCGCAACTAACTAGCGACATGCTCGCATTTTCTACGACGTAATTTTGCTGGCCCTTCTCCCCCTTTGAGTCGCGGTTGTTTGGTGAGGTGTGCCTGCAATTTCGTCATGACAAGGACCAAGCGTGGAAAGACTGAACTGGCCGCAGACGGGCGCGGTTACTTTTTCTTGCGAGAACTACAGGGAGGCAATGCTAGCTGTCAAAGCTTCGTAAATTCCGGTGATTTCCCAAAATGACAACCATGATCGAATCGAACGAACATGAGGCTCTTGCGAACTGACGGATTATTTTGCTTTTTGTTGATACTAACATAAAACCCCAGCATTTTCAATTCTAATACACAAATCCAAATTATTATTATTGAACTTTGGCTCGGATGATAAAGACGCTTTTAAAATGGCGCAGTTCAAAGTTATCCGGGCATACAACCACATATTGGAAAAATGAGAGGTTTTTCGTTTGTAATGAAATTACGTTGTACAAAGACCATCCGAAAATAAGATTAATAAAACAATTTTCAAAAATATGAATAGTTTCGATTGCATGAAATGTGTGGTAATTTTGAATTGTTATTTTCTTAAAAAAGGCTTAAAATTGATTCTTGTACTCAGCAAAAGACTGTAAAAAATTTTTTCTGATCCCAATTTTCGCAAACTCTTCTAAAATTTTTTTGAAAATTGCAACAAAAAAAATATTGTGAAGTATTAATTTTGAAATAGAGGTGCCTTTATAATTTTTAAAAATGATACTGTGAAATGTAACTTACAATTTGTTTAAAAATATGAATATTTTTTAGGAATTTCTACCCTTAGGCAATTACAATTGATTATTTTGTTTAGTCTCAAAAACGGCTGTGCTTTAATAGTTTTCCCCGGAGACAGCAAAGAGTTTTAAAAATTACGCTGTTTAACTGCAGTTGGGACTCCTTGAATTGCTAGAAAAAATGTTAGAGAAAAGATGTTCTTTTTGTAGCACCGCACTTTCGGTAGAAAAGGACCTACAAAATGTGGATTCTGACTACATGGTGACAACTACATTTGTTCGGGAGGAGTAATTACATACATAACATCATGACTTTTTTAGCAACTTTTCTTACCAATCCCCACTAAGAGTTTTTATGTCGAAAATATTTTTGTTCAGCTTTAATATTTTTATCTTTCCTACGTAAGTATGAAGTAAAGAGATGTAAAAATGTTAACATTAAATGAAGTAAAGGGAAGTTAAAGAAGAAAGTAGAAAAGATAAAACGAACGGATGAGAATTAAGAACAGGAGAAGAAAAAACTTGACGACAAAAATGATAAACAATTACAAATAAAAAAATAAATAGGCAGTAGTAGAGCAAAACATTGTAAGAAGGGGAGAAAAGAGTATGAAAAGGGAAGAGAAAGAAAGAAGAGAAAGGGGAGAGGAGGGCGGGCATTCAGTATCACCTCCGAAATCGTTGAACTTGAGGCCGCTCGTCAGCCACTGCTCTGGAAGGTGAGCTGCACGCTGTATTCCTGCGCAGGAGGCACCACACCAGTTTGGGCGCCGCTCGACCGCTTCCCGCCCCCACCCCCTCCCCCCTCCCCTCCACATCTTCGCACACCCACGTCCCAAGCGACAAAGACAACTGTTGTATATGTATATACAACACATTGACTCTATTGGCAAACGCTCTTGTTTTCATCTCCCAACAAATAAGGTCCTCATTTCTGAAGTAGTTGTGAGAGTTACTGGTCACATTTACACACGCCACCTTGTATTCTCAAGAGGAAAGCAACACAGAGCTCACTTAGTTTAGCTTCACAGAATTAATAATCACCTCGTACATAGATTATACCACTCTGCATTTAAAATGGAGTTTTAATTATAAGTCTCTTTGTTTCCCATATTATTAACCATTAATTAGTTAAAATTAGTTATTATGTCCATCTTCAATATCTGGAATATATTTATTGGAGAGATTTGCGAGCATTTTTTTCCAATGTAATAAGTTTTTACTATTTAGAGATTCACCTTCAAGACCCCTATAAACTGACGCCTATTAAATACACCACAAATTGTGAAACAAAACTAGATATTTTTGATTATGAAAAATCTAAACACTTGTGTTTTTATTTTTTTTACATTCATAGTTTATTATTTATTTAATGATATTTAATTTCCATATCTCAGTTTCCGAAGGAAACAGGCGGGATGTTATACAAACATTTTACACCTGAAACAATAATAACAGTCCCAAAAAATGTACAGACGTTACGCTGGTGTAACTATGATATGAAACTATGAAAATGATCTGCTCTTATTTTCAGCAAAAATTACTGAATAAATGCTAATAAAAACTTGAGTTCATGTAAACTTTTTCTCTAGTACATTATATACATATCGCAATCCTGAATGCTAATGGAAACAGAAATGTGGCGGTTGCAATAACATCGCTATCCTAAGTCCCCACACATATCGCAAGATAAGCCAAAATTAAAACTATACAACACTTCCAGGAGAGCAAGCCAAACTACAATGAGCGAACATGCAAACACGAGAACATGGAGTGCAGGTGGCAGAGATGCGTTGGCTGGCTCCGACGCGAAGGAGGCGGCAGGCGAAGGGGAGAGCACTGAGTTACCTTGTGAGTGCGTCCTCGTGCGGGCGCCCGATGGGCCGTCGGAGCGACGCCGGGGCGCCGGGACTGCGCTCGGCCCGAGGGCGGCGGGGCGCGGGGTGCGTGGCGCGGGCGAGGGACGCGCGGCGTCTTACTGCAAGCCGTGTCCCGTGCCGCCGCCGTTCGCCGCCGCCCCCAACCCCATGCTACTCACCAGTACAGCACCTCGGCTCGGCTGCGCCGCGCGAGCGCGCTTACGACCGTCCGCGGCGAGTTCGCGCGCCGCTTTTTACGACCGGAGATCGCGTGCGATTCGTCCTCGGAGGAAGTTCTCCCGTGAGGGCATCGTTCGTGCTGCGTGCTGGCGGCGCGGCGGTAGCGGCTGTGCGGGGGCGGAGGGAGGGGCGGCGGGCGGCCGCGGGGAGGGTCGCGGGCCTCTCTCGGCGCCACCCCGAGCGGTCGTGTGGCGGAGGGGTGTTCTCGCGCAGAGGAGGCCGTGCTGGGGAGCGCGTGGCGTGGCTGGCCGCGCAAGCCAGCTGCAAGTCCTCCGGGAGCAACCGGGACATCACACCAAAGACACCCACGCCAACAGATAAAAGGGACAAAACATTCAGACCACAACGCACAGGCAACACGACCACTCAGACCACGGCCACTTCGCACGAGACACGTACTTGCAAGCGACGGCCCAGACACAAATGTGAGGACAGGTGACAGTCAACTCGCGGCGCTGGCGGGAGGCGTGCGTGCGGGCGGGCGGGCGGGCGGAGAGTTGGAGGGGCGGCTTACGCCCGCCCCCGGCCTTACCGCACGACTCCCCGCGCCGCCCCGCCCGCACGCGCCGCCCACCCCGCCCGCCCCGCCGCCCTGCCCCGCTGCACCCCAAGGCCGCTCGCCGCCGCGCCGCGAGCGCCCTGTCAAGTCGGCTCTGCATGGCGCGGGTGGGGGCCAGGCATGCAGGGCAGCGCTTCCGCGAGGCCCGCCCTGCTTCTCAGCCCCGCGATCCTTCACTGGAGGTGAGAAGGGGCAAGGCAGTTGCTTTTTAATTCTTCCCATTTACTTTAACCGCGACGGAAAATAAACTTTTACTTCCGAATTCCATGAATGTTTTTGTAACTGCCTCAGAAAAGCGTACTGCGCTTCGTGAGAAGAACTTCTACTATTAGCTATCTTGATTAAAAACATTCCGCGATTTTTTTGCGAAAAGCAGAAAATAATTTTTATATTATTATTATGGTTTAGACGAACAAAGACTGTACAGAAGTATATTAAATTTTACGGGATAATTGACCGTACTAATTACTTTTAATGAGCTAAAAGAAAAATAATGTACTAAAATATATTATTGATATTGCCATTGTTCGTACATAAAAAAGCCGTAGTTAATTTTAGTTCCTTTTTTTGAAAAAAATAACTATAATTTTTTCTATCATTTGAATACGGACAATTTTTAATGAAAATTAATTATTTCAGAAGCCGTTTTCCTCATATTGCGTTTAGAATCATTGACGAAAATTGCACGATTAAAAAAACACGAATAACGGAACTTACAGGTCTTTTTGGAAAACTAAGAATTTTTCTAACTCCTCCAGTCATAATTTTTTATTCCTGTTACCTTGTGGGTTAAACATAAATTTCAGACATGGAAACATCTGCACACATGTCTTTCTAATGATTTAATTTGCGGGAAAGGTGGGGTATTATTGAGCAACTTTTTAAGGGTAGAAACACCAAACGTCAGCTATTTTGCAGGCGGCCTCTGATTGCATTACATTAAGGAACACGAATCGACTTACCTTAATTTTTTTCTCACACCCCATTATTTGTACTGTCAGAGATTAAATTGTTATTTTGATTATTAGATAACGTTCATGGTTACTACGTTAAGTGTGCTGCTAATAATGATTTTTTGGAAAAGGCAATATCCCGACCATGGCAAACAGGCAATCCGATGTAGGAACGTGGATGTGGCCAGTTCAAAGCAAAACTTTTTTTATTTACTTGAATTATTCTCAAAAACACGTTATCCATGGTTTGCATCTAAAGAGGATTGCCAATTACGAACGTACTTTTATTTTTTAAGAGACTTTTGATGAAACGGTCTGGGGGTTGCCTCTTCTGTGAAACTGTGCGCGGGCGAAGGCGCCGGCGTGGCCGGGCCAGGGGCGGGGCTGGCCCGCCTGCGCTGCCCAGCGTCCAGAGGCGCCCGTCCCGAAGGGATGGGGCCGGCGCCGGCGTGGCGTGCGGCCGGGGGGGGCCGTGGGGCGGTGGGGTGTGGGGGCCTGACGAGGGCCGGGGGGACCATAACATGCACACCTCACACCATTACCACCGCAATCGACAGCTCTCAGCACACCGCGCTCCACACCGAGGTGGCTATATGACACACCACGTCCCAGCGAGGAAAATAGCCCTTCATCCTATGGCTGAGCATGCCGTTCCTATTCCATAATGCCCGCATGCCTCGCAATATATGCACATTCTAATGGCGCTCGCTTAACATCGCAGTAACATCACGCACCAATCATTCCTCCCTCAATCTACCATTCCCGCGTGGCTCTCAGCCCCTATGACGCAGCAGGGCAAGTTTGGTCGCCTCCCCCATCGCACTTGACTGCACAAGCACCTACCCATCTAGTGCCGTGGCCGCGCACCGTTTCGTCGGATAAACAGCTGCACCGGTGCAACACGCTCAGCTGAGCCGGGGCCTATCGCACCCTCCGGATGCACACGCGTTTCGCATGTTCGAAGCCAAACTCTAAGTCGATGAATGTGCATGTGCATGTTGATTTTTGATTGCTATCGAATTTACGAGATTATTTAAATTTTTTTTTCAATCTATAAACAAAATATTCACATTGTCGTGTTTCAGTCACGACGAGGCCACCGTCGGCAATTCAATCTCAGGCAAAGCTCTCAGCCGTCCTTGCAGAAGTGTTTTGGGTTGCACCAAACGCAGGTGAGCTAGTACACGCCATGTACGAATGTGGACGATCCAACATTCAGCTAGTTTGGGTTTGAGCCAAAGTCAGAATAACCTTTGTTTTGTGTAGAAATTGATTTAAGTTCGCCTGCCTTTATTGCCCAGTTATGCCAGCTAACACTGCGTTTGAGGAATGTAAGGTAAATTAAAAAAATATGTTTTGCTTTTAGAACTTTTCGACGATTTTAGCGAAAAATCGTGCCATTTTGAAGAAGATTTGATATGACCTTGGTTTTCATGTTTC